TTAAAATATAGAGGCAGCATAACAAAAGAGCACAGGCTTTGGAATTCAGATAGAAAATAGAGTTGATAGCTATCAACTCCTAGGTCTCATACTTTTTTTCTGTATTTTCTGGCTTAAACAAGGATGGAATGTTCTGATCAATTAATCATTGTGTTTATAAAGTCCAAGATAAATAAACCTTCATTACGATAAAAAAATAGAGTTGAATCCTGGCTCTGCCATTCACTAGCCGTACAACTTTTGGAAAGTTTCTTATCTTGACTAAAACTCGGTTTACTCATCTGTTAAATGGGATTAATAGCGCCTACTTCATTGAGTTGTTGTCAGGATCAGTAGCTAATGCATCGTGTACAAAATACGTGTCAATAAATTTTAGGTGTTTTTTTGCCTGAAAGTCTTCCTGGAAGGCTCAGGATTTAAATATGTATCACCTTACTGGTCGAGGAGTCTGTCTTTGATTTAGGTCACTGAGGAAGTGTTTTAATAGAGTCTGCTTAAGAACTGATTTCATAGCTTGTGGTCTTTTCCTCCCATGAGATTCAGTTGAGATTTTTCATACATTTTTTTCTTTCTTAGTCTACAGGATTACATTTTCATTAATCCATATTCAATTTATTCCTAGGAGGTCATCTTGGGCATATTTTTCCTTTCCTCATCTCCCTCAAAGAAAGCAGAAATTTGAGAAAACCAAGAAGTTGCAGAGAATTTCACAGATGATTATTGTTGTTGGCAAAGAGCAACTTGAATTTGAATGCTCTTGGAAATGAGGATCCTTGATACAATTATGATTATTACACCTATCAATTTTCTTGGGACACTTCTTTAGAGAAAGAGACTAAAATCCATTCCAATTTGTATTCTATTTATGTGCAAGGAAATGAGGATCCTTGATACAATTAGGATTATTACAGCTATCAATTTTCTTGGGACACTTCTTTAGAGAAAGAGACTAAAATCCATTCCAGTTTGTATTCTATTTATGTGTGTATCTCAAGGTATTTATCTATCATTCAGTTAATGTATGTAATACTTCTGTGAACTCATGGTCCAAAAACATTAACTTATTTTACAAGTGGGTAAACTGTAGCCTAAAGTTGTTGGGTTGCTTAAGGCATCTGGACAAGTCTAGGGAAGTTAACAGCAGCTCAAGCGCACGACCTGTTTAATTAATATTGTATCCAGGAAGTGAGTTCCTCTTAAAAGCAGGAATCTTTTACTGAGCTAGCATGTCCCCAGTGAAACCCTTAAGGATTTTCTTTCCCTACTAGATTCTTATTTATTTACATGAAAAATGTTTGGAACTCTATGCCCCACCCAAATCCTTCTCTTCAATGTTAATATCTTTGTTTATCGTGTGTGTGTGTGTGTGTGTGTGTGTTTCACTCTTGGCAGGTTCCTTTTAAATCTACTGTGTTAATTTTTGCCTCCTTAGCATTCTTTTTTGGCCATATACTTAGTATTTAACTATTTTTATGCTGATAGTATAAGATTCTATTCAGTAGATTTCTTTTTTTTTTTTTTTGAGGAAGACTGGCCCTGGGCTAACATATCTGTGCCCATCTTCCTCTCCTTTATATGGGAGGCCGCCACAGCATGGCTTAACAAGCGGTGCGTTGGTGCACAACCAGGATTCGAACAGGCGAACCCTGGGCCGCCGCAGCGGAGCGCGAGCACTTAACCGCTTGCACCACCAGGCTGGCCCCTCTTCCTATTATCTTTTGACTTATTTGCTGTAACGCCCCATTGATTTTCTTATGTATCTTCATAAATGTAATTTTTAAAATCTATTCACTTCTGGATTTATGTAGTCCCCAACAAAGTGCTGAGTCCTCCTAAATACCCCTTGACTCCTTTCTTTTCTCTCCATCCCCAGAGTCACTGCCTTAGTTCATTCCTACTGGGTTCACTGGACCACCATGATGGCTTCCTGACTTAGCCCCTTGCCTCTTGTTTTTCCCGATTAATCATCCTAGTGTCTCCAGAATTATATTTCTATAGTTTTATTCTGACCATATCAATATGCTGCTTAAAATCTTTTAATGGCTCATGTTGACTCTCAGAATAAAATGTGGTCTCCTTTGCTTGGCATACTGTGCCCTTCCTCATCTGACATCCGTCTACTTCACCAACCTCATGTAATCACACCCTGGGCTCTAGTCATACTACAACACTCACCATCCCCTATGCCTCTGCACATGCTCTTCCCTCCACCAGGAATATCTTTCCTTACCCTACATCTAAACTGTGTTCTTCTTCCTCCTTAGAGTAAGTTCCTTCAGGGTGGAGCCAAGTGTTCCATTTTCGCATCTGCAGAGGCTGGCAGAGTGCTAGACGTACGGTGTGAGCTGAATGCACTTTCGTGTGATTAGTTAGTACAATTGATAGTTGCATGGCTGTGGAATTCACCATCAATAGAAAATACCTTACAACGTCTACTGATGATGAAATTCTGGACTACTTAAGCTGTAGTATCCCAAAATAGGACCTGGTTGGGACCTCAAGGGCATGTGTGTTAGAGGAGGGGACTGGAGTTTAGATGAGGGAACGAGGTGACAAAACTTGGAGACGCTCTATGAAGTTTGGTAATTATAAAGGAATGCTGACAGAAAAAAGTTCTAAATTTCTAATAAGCAACTTTAGTTTGTTTTCTATCAATTTAACTCTTTCACCAAATTTGTCATGTATTTTGTGAGGTAAAGAGCTAAATAATTTGGACAGTTACTGTAATCTTAATGTTTTTAGGTGTTTGAGCACCAGTAATGCTATATGAAAAAATCATTTTTAGTTTTGTGTATTTTTCATTTGGCTGCTGAAATATGAAAATATCTTAACTCTATTACCCTCCTTTCCTCTGAGCCTTCTGAGACACACTATGTGGACATTAGAGGGTAGAGAGGGAGGCTGAGACTAAGGAGTGACAAACTCCAAGAAGACATGTTTAAAATTAAGTTAAATAATTCCACATACAGAATACTAATACTGGTAGAGGAATGTCTCCTCTATATATCCCATAGTTCCAACATTTGTCTCAGGCATTTATTTAAAAATGTGTTAAACATATATATATATCACAGAATACTTTCCAATATTTTAGACTGCTTATACCTTTTTTCCACTCCATCAACTAAAGATCCATAGTTTAACATATCTAAAATCATAGCAGTAACAACAGTATTTAAACACTTGTGCATTTTTCCTGTAACTTTAATCACATGTCTATGGAAACCACCTATAATCTGTATTGTTGACTATATTCCATTAATGATAGCCAAATACTTATTTTTATTTTACAGATGAGGGGCTCAATGACTTGAAACTAGGTTTACAAATAGACCTCTCCCTTCATGGTCCAGAGAGTTGCTAGTGTTCTCTCTCCTTCTGTCCTGTCCAGGGCATTCTAGAACATGAGTTCTGGCATTGACCCAGGGCCACAGCAGCAGATTTTGCTTTAGAGGTTCATGCTTCTGAGCAGTCAAATAAGCACTAGGGCAACCGGGATTCAGAGTTCAGGAAATATAGTTTCTATAGACATAGCATAAAGTGAAATTCAATAAATGTTATATGATTGTAATTATGTCATATTGCTAATAAACATTTTTTCATGGATGATTACTATTTGTGTCTTATGTATGCTTTCACTATTTGCTACAGTTTTGAAATTTACGTGCCTAAATGTAACTTATTACGATAAACCAATAAATATATTTAATTACATATAACACAATGAATATAAATATGAACAACAGCTACAAGCTATTTTAAAATACTTTTAATTAATTTTTCTCATTTTATAGAAATCTCTTTCCAAAATCGCAGAAAATCGGCACAGCCTCCTGGAAACATCCACCAATTGTTACTGAGAGATGCCATAAGTCGACAGGGACTTCCTAACTGTGCTTCAGCTGCTCTTTGGGTGACTAGCATGGTAAGAATGTTTAATGGATTAGCAGGAATGAGTAATGCCTCTATGGATAAGAAATTATTGGAATTACAGCATTTATTCTGATATTCAATATTATACCAGACCCTAAATATTAAGCTTATTAATGTCAATGGTAAAGTTCCAAACTTATCTTTTTGTTTTTAGCATTTCGTTTAGTCACTCACCAATAACTTCCTTTTAAAAGTTAGAATTGGGGCCGGCCTGTTGGCGCAAGCGGTTAAGTGCAGCGGCCTGGGGTTCGCTGGTTCGGATCCCGGGCGCGCACTGACGCACTGCTTGGCAAGCCATGCTGTGGCAGCGTCCCATATAAAGTGGAGGAAGATAGGCACGGATGTTAGCCCAGGGCCAGTCTTCCTCAGCAAAAAGAGGAGGATTGGCAGATGTTAGCTCAGGGCTGATCTTCCTCACAAACAAACAAAAAAAGTTAGAATTGACTGCCACGGCAAATTATTTTTCATAAGCAGGTAATGACAAAAAGTATAGTAGATAAATCCCTTTTAAAAGACATATCTCCAAAAGGTTCCATAATTCCAAAATGTGGGTTAGTTTGGTTCAAAAAAAGTAATTTAAATATAATGCTAAATAGGTTATTGGAACAAGTTAAGTGTACAAGTTTTGATGTTCCATTGTATTCTTGAAAAAAAAGTTTTGCTTTTCCTGATTTCAAAAAAAATACAGTCATAACAGAAAAAAAATACAAAAAAGCAAAAACAAATCACCAGTGATTGCTCTATCTAGATATAATCTCTATTTATATTTTGGAGGCTATCTTTCTAGCTTTGCTTTTTCCTAGCAACTGCAATTATTTTTTATTTTAGTCCTTGTGCTAGTCTCTTCAGATAAAGCTGTGAACAAGGAATCTTACAGAATAGAGGTCTAATAAACGAGACACAATGTAACCTACCTTTCCTTCCACCCTTCTCTCATGATAGAAGCTACTTCTGGTATTTTTTTGTCATATCTGGATTTTGTATACAGAGTTAGCAACAAAAAAAGACACATATTTATACTTTTAACAGAATAAAAGAAACCAGGGGAAAACCAAAATTTTTCAGATAAATATTTTAATCAAATTATCACACAAAGCTAACAAAGTTGTATATGTACATATATAACTACTTACAAATATGTAAACATAAATATGTGTTAGGGTTTTCGGGTTATGTTTTTTTTTCACTATTTTGCAATATACTCAACAAAACATTACACTGAGGTAGGACTATTTTAGTGCTAGAGAATCTTATATAAATGTATTTGTTCAAGAGCTTCCCTGTCAATATCCTTTTCCGAGTACACATCATAGTTCAGCGGTACCTCTTCAACCCAGGGAGATAACTGTATATTAACCTGGAAAAAAGAAAAGGTTATAAACAAACATGAAAATTGCAGAATGATCCTATTCTCCGGAATTTCAAGAAATTATGACTAAGTAATTGAACACAGATTTTTATTACAATGAGCAAGACTAAGCTCTACATGGTACTACATAAACAACTCTTTGTCACAGTAAATGGCAGGTCTGTGGATTCAGGGACTTAATTACTTTATTTTGATTTTGGAACTGGAAAGAATAAAGAAAATACAGAATAGAGTAATTGTTTTAACCTATCTAGTTTAGTAATTATCATTAAGCTTAAACAATAAAAGACTAAAATAACAACCAGAATACACAGAAAACACAGAAAAACTGTTCGTATATACACAGTGATGGTGCTAAGGGGTTGCATGAGTGGAGCTAATCTCCCTCCATAACCTTCCTCAGGCCTTTGCCTTCACGTTGCAAACTTGAGTCTCCATGACACAGAAATTCTAGAGCCACCAATGGATATTTCTGTTTAAAGAAGTGTCATTAAATAGGAAAGCAACAAAGTTATTCAAGACTTTATGTATAAGGACTCTTCCACAAATATTAATTTCCTGTGGTTATGTAGATAGCTTTGTGTATTTAGTGTGAAAGCTATTATTTTGGTAGTGAAAATCTCTGAATTATTTCAATATATATATAGAAATTATAAATTGGAGACCATATATTTTAAATCTTTTTTTTTTTAAATAACTTTATCTATTTTTCCCCCAAAGCCCCAGCAGATAGTTGCACGTCATAGCTGCACATCCCTCCAGCCGCTGCAGGTGGGACGCGGCCCCAGCATGGCCAGACACGCAGTGCGTCGGCGTGCGCCCGGGATCCAACCTGGGCTGCCAACAGCAGAGCGCGTATACCTAACCACCAAGCCAAGGGGCCGGCCCGAGAGAGACCATATATTTTAAAAGATATGTTTTTATGAGTATGGAAAGTATGGTAGGATCACACCACTCATGGCTGGGGATCTCACGGGGAAGAATTAGGTGGGGGAAACTGGGGCGATTAACACCTTTTCTGTATATATCTCTGGATTATTTCCCTTGTTATGGCAAACATGAATTACTTCTGTAATTTAGATGATTGACAAAAATTTTTTAAGAAGGTATTATCGATGATTGTTTAGTATTTTAAAGGAAGAAATAGATACTTAAATTTGGCAGTGCTTACATGCAGGGAAAGCGCTACTAAAGAAAAGAATACTACTACTCTGTATTAAGAAATACAACAGTATCTTTCATCTAGGGATCTCAAAGAGCTTTACAAATACCAATTAACTCTTATATAAGGGTCAATTTATTTGGCTGAATCTTATTATTAAATATTGGCCTTACTTTATATGGAGAAACTGAGGAACAAAGAAGTGGTTTGTGCAAGATTTCACACTGACCTAGAAGCTAAACTGTGCATAGTATGTGGGCCGCCAATCTACTTATTTGATTCTAGAAGTCTTGAACAACTCTGTTCCTTTTGTTCTAAGGGAAACAGTTATGGTGTGGGTGTTCTAACCTTCTTACAAACATTTAATAGCATTTGTTAACCTAAAACTGTAACCCCACAGCTGCAAAAATTTAGTGGAGAAGCAAAAGAATCTACATCAAGGTAAGAATTACAATTTCAGAGCTCTTGAGGCCAGTGAACAAACCACAAACCAGTTCTTAAGCCATAAGGTCTTGCTATTCTATCATCTGTCACTATATTCAGACAGAACATTTCTAGAATTTTGTAATAGCTATCAGAAAGAACTAGGAGAAAAGTTTTGACAATAAAAATGCTGGGAAAGAGGCTTATTTACCTGAAGACCTGAGAGAGAATCTTCAAGACTTGGTACTGTTACTAATAATGATCCTTGTTTCCTTACATGACGGCTGATATACTCCCAGGCTCTACAACACATTACAAACTTAGATGTTAGGTTTTCCCAGACACTGGAAATCTTGGCAAAATTGTGAAGTTACAGTGTGGAAGAGATTTAACAAGCTGGAGATTCAGGCTACTGGAAGGCCAAAACTCAGTTCTCAGAACCAATACACAAGTCAGAGCTGGATCAGCAGTTAAAGCCCCTGAAATTCTTTATGAAGTGTGACAAAACTGGTTCTGCAGAATGGAACAGGGCTGAGGGGTAGACGTGGGGAAGTCATGGAAAAAGGCCATAGAAGCCAGAAACCAAGCAAAGACTAACAATAAGAGTATAACATGTAGATTAGATCTTTCAAAATAACATCAAGAGTGAAATCATACTTTGGCTGTCGGAAATATTCACTGGAAAGGCTTCTGGACAATATGGCACCTGAGAAGTTTAGTGGGATGAGCCAGGTTAAAGCACAATGGAATGCCATGTGCATGTGTCCAAAGGCAGTGTCTGACCAGTTCTGAGTGAACTTTAGGGTGGTCATGAACTGGATTTCCACACTGTGCATGAGTCTTGATAGGACACCCCACGACTGGGAAGCGATGGTCAAGCAAAGCAGGGATGTGCACCCATGGCAGTGGGGCAGTGGGCAGCATGTCATCTGCACTTATTTTAGTTGTAGCAATGGTTACTAGATTTGGTACATTCTGGAGTTTATTAGGCAAAATGATACAAATGTTCTTTTTCTCAGGCTAGAACTAAAATCATGTAGCAGAGTTTGATAATAAATATCACTGTGTTTGGGTTACAGCTGTTTGTTGTTTTGATACGGTTCCTTAAAAATGACATATTTTACAAGTTTATTTAATAAGCACGGAAGCTGAGTATCTTGGCGTGGCTCTCAAAACAGCACTTGCTGTTTCTGGTAAGCTGTCATTGTAGGAGTTGTATCTGTTTCACCTACTGAAAACACACATGGAGGCACCTTTTAAACTAACAATTACTCTACTAATCCGGGGTGTTAACCTGTGATGAGATCTAACTTATTCTGAAGCCCGAGCCTTTCCTGAGTACACATTTTCTGTGATTATATTTCTGTTTTCTCATACAACCTAACTCTTATAGGAACATTGTTCCACTGGTCCTCAGATTCTGAGTAAGATTACAAGTCTTTGGAGGCTAAAAGCTGTGCCATCTATTCTCTTTTACTTACTACAATATAGAATTAATATAGGTCAAGGATCAGTTTTGTCAGAATGATTCCAGTATTAGAATGCTTTACTATATCTTCTAAACTTTCTCCTGTATCCTGTCATTCATGATGGAGATAAGATAATTAACCGTGAGAGGCTATAACCTATCTATATTTAGAATTCATTGCGCTAGACTAATTTAGGAGAAATGACTGAACTAACACATGTGGCTAATACCTATTCGGTGAATCATGTAGAGTTTGTAAACGAATGTGCCAAGAAAGTTTTTTTTGCTGAGGAAGATTTGCCCCGAGCTAACATCCATGCCAATCTTCCCCTGTTTCATATGTGGGTCGCCGCCACAACATGGCTGCGGATGAGTGGTGTATGTCTGAACCAGGAACCAAACCCGGATGCCCAAGCAGAGTGCACTGAACTTAACCACTAGGCCATGGGCTGGCCCAAGAAAGTTTTTAAAACAACCCAAACATGCAGATTTCCAGTATCAAGTTCACCAGTAGCTTTTATCATTTTTCAGCATTCAAAATCTTTCTATAATAAATCTCCAAAGAGTTAAAGGTGTTTTTCTCTTTTAACTTTTTATACAACCTAAACCTAGTATATTTCATTCTCCAACAATTATGTAATTAACTTAAAAAGGTAAAAAGCTAACCACACTTTGTCCATGGAAATTGAGCTTAAAGAGGGCACTATGATTAAAACACCTTTGCTCACGTTATGTTTCTGGTCTTTAGCCTGTGACCAAAAATCGTCACCCACTGTGGCTGAGCTTTGACTATGTGATTAGCTTTCTGTTAAACTAGTTTCTTTTCAAACTATTTAAATTGTTAATTCATAGTGACCTTAACCTAATACTAATGGCTACGGGTGTGTGTGTGTGTGAGAAAGTGGGGGAGGAGGGGAGTAGAGAAGGTGAGGGGGTGGCAGGATAGAGGTTTAGCCATTCAGGATTCCACTCAGGATTAACTGTTTATGGTTTGTAATTATATGCATTTTTGTTTCTCCACAGTAGAAACCTTACTGATACACTAGTCCAAACATTTGTGTAATTCCCTTTCACACATATGGAAAGGAGCTTGCCTGCATCTAGAGTACACTGATGCCATTATGATAAATAACTAGTCAGTAAGCCTAACTAGCCAGAAAATCTTCGTCTTAGACTACAGACTACAGGAAATTTCTAATTAGAGGAACCTATAGGTGCTGATGGGTCACAAAGCATCAAATTGTGGCGGAGAAGTCAGAAACGTGATCACAGGGCCGGCCCGTGGCTTAGCGGTTAAGTGCGCATGCTCCGCTACTGGTGGCCCGGGTTCGGATCCCGAGGGTGCACCGACGCACCGCTTCTCCGGCCATGCTGAGGCCGCATCCCACATACAGCAACTAGCAGATGTGCAACTATGACACACAACTATCTACTGGGGCTCTGGGGGAAGAAAAGGAGGAGGATTGGCAATAGATGTTAGCTCAGAGGCAGTCTTCCTCAGCAAAAAGAGGAGGATTAGCATGGATATTAGCTCAGGGCTGATCTTCCTCACAAAAAAAAAAAAAAAAAAAAGAAAGAAACATGATCATAGATTTGCTAATTTTTCCATTACTTGAACAGTGGGATAAACTCCAGGAACCTACTGTTACCACCTTAAGAACATCTTTAAAGTTTGATAATTAATCACTATTTTGGTTAATATTCTTATATCTTGTTTTATATTCATTTATAGGCATTAGTTAAGTCCCATCATTTTGTGATAGGATAGCATATGACATGTTTTTTCAATCAAAAGCAAACTGAGACAGAAAAGAAGCACAAAGGCCACTGGGAAGTGACATCTTACTGCATCCCTGATGACTAAGCAAATGCTTGGCTCATGACATCATTTTATATCTGCCCCAAATTAGATGTAATATTTTATAACATTAGACCATCAGGGCCGGCCCTGTGGCTTAGCGGTTAAGCGCGCGAGCTCCGCTGCTGGCGGCCCGGGTTCGGATCCCGGGTGCGCACTGACGCACCACTTCTCCGGCCATGCTGAGGCCGCGTCCCACATGCAGCAGCTAGAAGGATGTGCAGCTATGACATACAACTATCTACTGGGGCTTTGGGAGGAAAAAAAATAAATAAATAGACCTTCAAAGTTTATTTTTATTTTTGTTTTATACATAACACATTTCCTTTTTAATATAATCTCCTCACAGTTGAGGTCATTTTTTTTTTTTTTTGTGAGGAGATCAGCCCTGTGCTAACATCTGCCAATCCTCCTCTTTTTTTGCTGAGGAAGACTGGCCCTGGGCTAACATCCGTAACCATCTTCCTCCACTTTATATGGGACGCCACCACAGCATGGCTTGTCAAGCAGTGCGTTGGTGCGCGCCTGGGATCTGAACCGGCGAACCCCGGGCCACCGCAGCGGAGCGTGGGCACTTAACTGCTTGCACCACCGGCCTGCCCCTGAGGTCATTTTAAAAAAAGTCTAATATGAAAACATTTCTACTTTACCAATCCCTTTTCATACTTTGCTGGATACATTTTAACAAGAGATTTCTTGCTTGAATAAATAACGTACCTGGCCTGTTCTGCCTCATCAAGAAAATATTCGAAGACATTATTCATTATAATCACGTCAGCATTTTGCAGAAGGGAACCCTGGGTACAGATGTCTGCATGAAGCACCTGAAGAAGAATGAGTTCATTTACGAGAACAAAGATACCATATGGGACGACTGCAGAAGAAATAGCTATTGGTTCAGTGATGTTGTGAGGCAACATGAGAAGTTAATGCTTCTTAAAATGGGAGAAAGAACAGCATATTTAATATTACCACCTATGGGAGATACTTAATATCTAATAAAAACTATCAACTTGTGAAAATTCAGTTGTTTTAGATGGAACTATTTATATAGTCATAATTACACTCTTTTGACTCCCAGTTCAGAGCCTTTTCCACTACAACTGTATCACTAGTTGTCAGAGTCAACGGACCTCGGTTTAGATCCTGATTCCATCATCAACTGACTGCATACTTACGCAGTCAGTATCCTCATCAATAAAACGGAATAATATCTGTCCTGATTCACAGAATCAAATGGGACCATATAAAAACATAAAAGTAATTCACAAATTGTAAAATGTTAAAACAATATATTAATTGGCCTTGTCTGACTCTTTACCTAAAATTCACTTGAATATATTATCTATCCAAAAAAGAAAACAATTTATTTAAAAATTATATACCTCAAAAAATTAACGTAGACCACAATCAATAAGTCTTACAGACCACAGGCAAGATAACAAGAGGAAATATTTATTTAGCTCAGGAGCAGAGCAAACAATTTTATTTTAAAAAGAGAAAAAGGTTAACTGCTTTGTATCATATGATTTCTTTCCAAATTAGCACTTGGTCTTACAAATATATAATATACTTATTCAGAATGTTGTGGGGTCTGATTTTTAAAATATTTTCTTCCTTTAAATTGGGTTAGAGCCTCTGAAACACAGCTTTGACATGTTCCTGAACAGAGAAAATAGTTAATCTCTGCAAACTTCCTAAACACATATCTTAGCTATGAAACAGGTATGTAAATTAACCTACTGATACACTATAGCTCTCACACAGTTCCCTCTTTTTCTTTCCCGTCTCTGTTCACTCTCCCCCCACACCCTACAGACAGGGTGAAAAAGAATCAGGTGGATCCATTAATTATGGCAACCAACAGAGGTACTCTAGAGGTCCCAGGGAGACCCCAAGGAACGGCTTTGGACAAACTGGAATGCTAACAATGCAGAGGCCACAAGGCAACCAAATCAATTTAACTAGTTTTTAATGGGCACCTCCCATGTACAAGATACCATGCAGGGAGATATGCCAGGATGAATAAGATACAATATCTGCTCTTAAATACGTTATAATCTAGTAATGGGATGAAACAGCTACGCTGACAACTTTACATAAGTGCTGTCAAAGGAATCAGCAAGATATGAATGAAGGAAAGTTTACCTTTAGCCTGGTGGAAAGGGAAGAAAGAAGAATTTAAATCAATGGGTCTTCCATGTAAAGATAGTGGATAAGACACAAGCACGTACTATTATAATAACTATTATAATAACAATACAGGTTTTTTAAAAAGAAGGTATATACCCACAAGGATGGGGAGAATGGGAAAGAAAATAACAGACATAAAAATTTGTAAGTTAGGAAAAAAAGGGGAAATAATAAGGAATTTAGGAGACCAGAGAAAATTGATTTCTAAGCTAGAAATATAGAAAGCTAAGACCCAAACTTGACTTATACTACAGAATCTCCAAAAGGCTCATAATTGGTTGTACCAGGTATCTCTGGGTGAAAAGCAGTAGGAAGAAATGCTAAAAATAAGGTAATTTGGTTGAAAGTCAGTTTATGAATCAGCTAGATTCCTGAGTACCTTTCTTCTACCCCAGCAAAAGAATTGAGGTTTATTTTCTTGAAAAGGTAAAACAGAAGGTCTCTGGGTCAGGGGACACTAGACCTAGTTGAAGGAAAAGGTAATGCACTGAAAACAAGGGAATTAAGGAAATAAGCAGATGGGATGCTAGAACCCTCTATCTCTCCAATTCTTTTCCTACCACTCAGTTCCCAGGATGTTGCTTGCCATTCAGTAAGGAGATTGGAAGAGTTTTCTCCGTGCAATCAGACCAGCCCAAAAGGAAAAATCTTAAGATACTTCATTAGACATTCCCCAGCTAACTAACTACCCAAGCAAGGTCACTCAACAGTAAGGTGTGCAGTGCTCAGAATCCCCACTCAAGTGCTCAGAACTTCAATCAGCTTTGTTGTTTCTCACTCTTAAGTATGAACAGACAACCAAGGATTCCCAGACTTCTGAGGAAAGCCCTGTTAAAAAGGACCAACAAGAACAAAAACAAAACAAAAATGCAAAAACTGAGCCTTGAAGGTCAGTTAGATTTCAACAGATACTATCAAAAATAATCCTAAAATTCCTTGCTGTTGATCTTATGGCCCCTCAAATCCAACATTTGTCTTTCGCTTCAAGGAAGGAAAGTTAAGGTTGCCGATGAGATGTATAAAAACAGCTTTCTACCACTGGGTTGCTAATGGCCACAGAAGCCACAAGCCAGGAAAGTATGTGGGTGGGCGGGTGTCCACATCTACTCCTTTGAAAAGCAAGGGGTAAAAATCTTTTAAAGTTTATATAAATATATAGTTCATACACCTTTATCATGTTCTTTAAAAAAATATAACAAAAATAACAAAAAAAATAACAAAAATTGGTTATCCATTTATAAACTATGATTCTTAAGAGGTCCTAATTTTTAAATCTCATTTCCAATTAAATCAATATTCCTGTTAGTTATGTGATCTTTTTTATGCAAGAGCGGTGTGTTTCTCTTCCCTAAATATGGAATAGTGAGAAAAACTCACGAATTTATTATGGGACAATGAATTTGCTTTGATCATTTGCCTCTCTATTTCTAAGATGCAAGAGAGGGAGAAAGAAAGGATGGAAGGAGGGAGAGCATTAAAAAATTTCCTTCTATAAAAAAGGGGGAAGGCTAGATCCTTAATCTGAGATATGTCTTTCAACATTAGATTGCACTTAACACCAGAGATCCTTAGATACTCAATATTTCTCTACATTTCCATTAGAAGTGTAGGATTGTTAGGGAAATGATAAAGATTAACAGAAAAATTTCCTTTCCCTTTTTCTGGTTATTTTTCCCCCTACATACAGAAAAAAGAGAAAACTTCTGTCACAGCCCTACCCAAGGCATCATTCCCCCCAATAAACTTCTATTCTGTGGCATCCACAATTCCTCCTGAAAGCTTAGAAAAAGAACATAAAGAACTGAGAGCATTACTTAACCTTTTTGCTTACTTTCAACATTCAGAGTTTAATAAAACACTCTTCTGACCAACATCTGGAGATTTAAAAATGCTGCTACTAAAACTATAGCCGATATGAAAAAAATAGTCTTCTTTCTAATAAAATTGGGGAGGAAGAGAAATATGTGAGTGGAATATAATTATAATAATTTATCTTTACTAATATTTTAAAATACTAAGTCAATTCAATCCGTTTCTACACAACAGCAAGCAAGAAAAGATTCAAAAAGATTTTCCAACTCCAGAAGAAATTTGGCTAAATTATGCTATCCAGTGGAAAACAGGATATATATTTAAAAGGGTACCTTTATTCTGTCAGTGAACTGGTATTTTTTTATGACCATTTCCTGCAACTGGCAAAAGTCTCCATTCAATTCTACTCCATATAGTTGCAATGCTGAACTGTAAAGATAACCCTAAAAGATGAAGACACATTATGATGCAAATGAATGAACTTTTAATTATGGGTTTATTTCTACTCGAAATTTAAAAAGTCAAACTTTAAAAAATAGAATTCAATAAGGTAAAAATAAAATGAAAGGTAACATCCATCCTATAGTTTATGTAAACTTACAACTTCAAGAACTTAAAGACTCTTACTGATCAAGACTTTGACTGTAGTTTATTAATTTTCATTATTTAAAAGTAATTATATTTTTAAAGACTGATTTCTTACTTTTCCTGATAAAACTGTGCATTCAACAAAGTTGGAAATGAGAAAAGTGATCACATACAGATTCTCTGTTTGGTACCCTATTTCTGTAATTTCTTGGGAAGTTACATCCAGGGAAAGAAAGAAAGGAGGTAACCTGTGGGGAATATAATAGAAAATCATGCATAGTCTGACACTACAGGAAGGTGGCCAGAGATGTGTCCTGTTTGGCTTAGGAAAGTCAGCCTGGTGTCTGGCAATCTGCCAAAGATAATCGACCAATTAGTTAACAAAGATAATCAAGAATTGGCTATATTGCTATGTATCTATTTTTGGTTGCAATAACAAAAAAATAATCTGGAATGAGGTCAAATCATATTGTGAAGATCAATTTACATCAACCAGCACCTATGTGCAAACCAAATTTGTATTTATCACTCATCATGGATTTTTAGAATATGTTCAACAGAGCATATGCGGACTCCGAATCAGAACATCATTTTGTTGACTGAATCAGTGACCTAATATGGAGAAAAGTGACAATATGTTTAAATTTATTAATGCTGCCACATACCAGTATAGCCACAATTATTTCAGCTATATACTTTTCTAACAAATCAGAAAACTGACAAGAGTGGACAAAATACGTTAAATAATCATAATCTCTAATGTTCTCCAAACAAAAACCACCTGACAAACTGTGTATTTTCTATTACGGCTCTCTTTCCTAATTGGAATAAAAGTCTTAATACGAAAAATAAATTAAGCATTAAAGAGTTAACTAGTTCTGTTTGGAGCAGGCAGTGATGTTGGGAACTGATAGTGCCTGTTTCTGGCATGAGTCTCTACTGCTGTTGGCCACATGTTTTAACAAGTCTGCTAATGACAACCAGAAACCACATTTCAGTTTTTTGATAAACAATTTAAGTACATTAGAAAGACTCACGATTTGAAATTTTAAAAAAGCCACACTGAAGTGATATTTCAGAAACAAATGTCTACATTCAAACTTTGAATCACAGAAAATTGGAGCAAGATGTATCCTTGGATATCATTTAGTTATCTCGTTTACAGGTGAGGCACTCGAGGCCCAGAAGTGTTAAGTGACTTGCTTATGGCCATATGCAATCTCCTAGGTCAAGTAAATCTGTCAGTTCTAAAGAGCTCTTATGAAAGCTCACTATATTATTTTAGCACAGTTCAATGAAAATGGAGTTAGAAGGTCAAAGTGTTATGAGGCGTCACCTGCTCATGTTTTGTTGATATGCCAGCATTTGTGTCACAGAGACAACCTACCAAAGGAAATCAGAGAGCTGGCCTTTGAAATTTCAAATTCAATACACTATTTTAACCTTGTTACTCTATTACTCTAATAAGTAAAGCCAAGCTGTCACCTTGGATGGTGGCAGGCAAAACTGTTGCTAGCAGGAGAAGAAAGTATTTTCCAAATGTTGAGTATGTCCACAAGCTGGACTTTACCCCATAAAGGACTGTGCCAAGCCTGGAGCCAACGTCAACCAAGACCTTTCCCGACAGATCAGGGAGTACGTGCTGATAAATGAACTTCAATTCCATGAGAGAGAAGGAGTGAGAAATAAATCCTGGAGAATTAGAACAGAGTGAACATCAAATTTTGCTTGGGTATTAACAATTCCATTCTGTATTTCTAATTCTTTCATCTGTATTTATAAAGTATATTTCATGTTTTTCTTTTCTTAATCAATGAAAGCCATTCAATGGTTATTTAGAAAAAATTAATGTGATAATTTTGCACTGTGAGCTGTCTTAGAGAATAAATATGAAGTCTCTGACATTTAAAAGGCCTCTAGGGAACAGCTACCCAGCTGCCTGTCCCTATTCCTGTGCCCCTCATGTCCTTCAGGCTGCTGCTTAGGATGTCCTTGGTTTTTCCCTTCTTCCTTTTCTATGACTTGCTGTTCCCTGGGACTGCTTCCTAATGCCCATACCATCTGGCTTTCTTACCTTACCCCAAAGCCAACCACAGAACTGCTATGTATTGCTGCACAGTCTGTAGACTACCAAATGAATGACCATCTCTGGAGCTGCACAACATGGCAGCCTGGCCAACCTAAAACGTGTTCTGGAGTACAGGAGAGGGATGGTATGGAAGGCGGTTAAGGTACTCCCATAAATTGTTCTTATTTCCCTTAGTTTAAATGCTACAGTTTCTAGCCTCCTGACCCATCTTCTCACTCCATTATTTCTGTAATGAAATATTTGGGAGAGCTTGAGTCTTTTTTTCTGATATGGAGGTAACCCAAAGACTTACTATATTATGTTCTACATAATATAATCGTCAAGGAGGGCAGAAACTTAGGTCACAACTAATAGATGGTGGCAAAGAAAATGGAAGCAGGCAGGCTAATCCCTTGGAAGAAAATATAGGGTGTTGACTAGGCCTCAGAAGTAAGTCTTAGGGGGTGGGCTTTGACAGCATAGTCCTTATCTCCCTAGGATCCCCATTCTCACTACCCTCTTGGCCACATTATGCTTCTGCCCTGAGCTACAGCGTCATCATTAGTGTCTGGCAGCTAGACAAGCCCCTTATCATATAGCGAAGGAGTGTCCCACAGGGTGATAGCCTTTTGAGATTCATAATAGTTATCTGGGCTGGCCTGGGTACCCACTCACTATTTACAATCTGATTTTTATGGGAAAATGCATCCTAATCTTCAAATTTTTATTTGTTGAACATAGCTCTTCTATAAATCAGACCTGATATGGTGTTATACTTATAATTCACTCTTTAGTTTTCCCTCTATTTTTCTAAGTCCTTTTCTATTCTGTGAATTTCAACTACCTCAAATGGAATCCTTAGTACTATCTAAAAACAGAATCTTAAACCAGTAAATCAGAGAAGTTTAATCCCTAATTATAATATAGGTACAATATATTTGTATTAGCAACATCTTACAAATTTGGTAGTAGTTAACTTTTGAGAATGATATTACCTAAGAACAGTAATATGAGCACAAGATTAGTTACCTGGAGGGGTAGCCCATTCTAAGCAATAACTCTAAATCTAAGTGAGCAGGGAGACTGAAATAGCATGTCTAAAGTAATAGCCTAGACATTCATATCCAGTTTGAACAAAGACTATATTAACAGAAGAGCTGACATATTAGCAGCACAGAGTCAGTGTAGCTTCCCATTTGGGACACGGGTACCGCATCTGAGGGGCAGAGATGCAGGAGACTTTCTGTGACTAGAGCTGTTCTCTGTCATGGACCAGAGATGCTCCACTAGGTCATATCGTGGCCTGAATAAACTCTTTCTCAAGATTATCTATCTCTGTTCTCTGAGTCCATGCCCATCCAACAATATCTGAATACATCTGACTTTCTAAGTAGATGTTTTTAGAGGGAGAACATTTCAGCCCCCTTGACGCTTATATTTCTCACTGTAAATAAATCAGCATTATGGTTTATTACAAATCTCTTTTGAGTGTGGAAAGTATAAGTCAGTTTCCCTGTACTCAGTCACTTCTGATTAGTTTCTACGAAAAGCAGAGATACCCTCCAGGGAGACATTAAATGGCTTAGCTTCCCTAGACAATATTTCTATTTAGTTTCCCTAACTGCAGTAAGTGGTAATGGCTATGCTGCAAGTTGGCCTTTTGCCTTCAAAAAACATTGAATGACTTGGTCAAGAATTTGCATACTCACGCCATGGAAGGAAAAGTACACACAAAGCCATCAGGTTTGCGTACTTGAGTGCCTACCTAAAGGTGCCGTCTGGTGTGAGCCACACACCATACAGTAGTTTCTGCTCATTTTTCCTTCCTCACATAATGAATCAATAAAGTCTTCATCATAAAGGAATGCATCAACGTGAACTGTGGGTTCCGGCTGCTGCTGTATCTGGTGGAGAGAAGAAAAACATCAAAAGAAACAAAGTACAAAGAAGTCTCTTTTTACTGCTAAATAAGGCAAAACATCAGTGGTTCATAGGCTAAAATTCTGAGAGCAAATATAAGGCACAGAAAGACAAGTTTCACTTATTGAAGTCAGCAACTCTGCTGTCTTTCGTTTATTTCTGAGACACTAGCAACTTTTTATTTGACCTGTAATGATATAAAACATGGCTATGAGAAATATGTAAAATTTAGTTGAAAAGAGTATTTTGATACCATCTTGTCCAGCCTAAGTAGTATATTTTACAAATAAAGAAACTGATACCGAGATTTCTCCAAGCAAAGGACACTAGTCAGCATGGGGGAAGAGCTGAACCTAATTCCAGGTCTTCTGAGTCCCACGTGTCAGTGACTTACCCATCAAAATACTTAGCAAGTAATCTTTGCCCAGAGGCAAAGTTTTCAAACAATAAAAATGTTAGTAAAACTTCTTGCTTACAAATAATAGCCCTTTATTAATACTGGTGGAACATGATATAATAGAAGCGGCTACAAAGAAAAAAATGCTAATTCCTTCCACCTTAACTATATTAAAGAATCAACCTATGTGCTTGGAAACCTATAAAATTCTATCTATATCTACACACAAAAAATTTGTACTATAAGTATGTAAAATGTATGAATGTGCACAGGGACCAGAAGGAAACAAAGGAATATCAAAATAGTTTGTTAGGATAGGGGATTGTGGGTTGACGATTAACATGCAATGAATACTTTTCCATGATTTGATATATTGTGATATTGATAAGATCTCTTTGATATTGATAAGACTGTTCTATGAATAACATCCAAACTGTACTATAAACATTCCTCTCAGTTTTTATACTATCACTGTTTTCCTCCTTTGAGAATCTACATTGAATGACTGGACCTTGACTAAGATTTGCTAAGTGTTCGCGATGTGCACAGCACTGTTAAAAATGTACAGGAGTTAGTTCCTCTGCTCAGGAATTTACACACTGAAAAACCACACGAGGGTTGCTGTTTTCAGATTAGTGGGAGAAGAAATTATTACTATTACTTTGCTTTAGAAACAGTATTCATGGCATATGGATCCCATAAGAGCTGGCATTTGAAGAGACTGGAATGAGGGGTTTGTTCGGAGAAGAAAAATGAGAACTAATTCTAGGAATAAGGGAACAGAAGAATAAGCGAGAATTGTGCAATGCAAAAGCAGGGGCAGGAAACAAAGAGGTGAACTTCACCCTTGATGAAGTGAGGGAAATGGCACAGGGAAGAGAAAACCAGGACCATGATGTAGGCAGGGCCAGATTACCTTTGGGCCTTGATTTTTTGAGGGGTTTGAGTGCTTGGCAAACAGGACACTCTCAAAACAGATTTGTTGACTGAATGGTACTGGAGAGCCACAGGGTTACAGACTCAAAAGAATCGGGGCTGTGGTTGAAGCACCAAATGAAAAACTGTTTAAAGCAGAATTCAGGACTAATTAGACTGAGAGGCTACGGGCTTAGGGAGGAAGAGGAGAATCCTTAAGTAGCAATAAGAGTGATTAATTTAATGTATTTACTTTTTGGAGGGCTAGATGTTCTGAGGAAAGCATGGTGTCTAGAGGTAAGGAATTCCGAAGGTCTTCTGCTATGTTTTTCAACATAATGTCATTATTATCTTGAGTGAATTCATCAAAATCTCCTAGAAAAAGAAAAGGAAAGAAATAGCTTTTATGACTGTAGTCATACCTAGAGTAAATGATTACGATGGACATATTTTCCATCAGATAGCACCCATTTATAACAATAAATAAACCTCTAACCAATGGAATATTCAAATTCTAACAAGTGTCCCATTTAAAACATTGAGTTCTTCCTTTTTCCAAACTGCTTGAAAATATAAAACTTGACTCTTTCAGCCTGTTACAGAAAATAAAGGCATTTAAAAAATATGTAGTGTTTGGCTCTAAAAAAGTATAATTTCTAGGCATCTTGTATGTAATTTTAAATAGAATGTGACTAAACTGGAAGTAAAATGCTCTTAAAGGTAGCTTCTGTCTAGGAGGCCAAATGTAGACTGGAAAGGACTAGTAATGAACATATTTTACCTTTCTCTTAAAAGACTTTCTTATATTGAATTCTTGCTAGAGTGAAAGGACCCCAAGGAGACTGTGTCTTTCTTACAGTTGTAAAATAGTTGTAGAAGGAAAACAAGGAGATCCTGCAGGAAATGTCATCCATCTCCACATCTCCTGCTCCCCTAAATCTTTGGGTGTTTTTAAGTAACCTCATGATTTCCTTCTTAAACATAAAATAATTCTTGTGTTGGTTCTGAATGCTATTTTCGTATCAAATAACAACTGCAATTTGGATAGTATTTCATCATTTACAAAGTTCTTTCACATAGAAACTAGGTCATTTAACTACTATAACATCCATGTGAGGAAGACAAAGCAAGATTACATTCCCCGATTCACAGATGAGGTAACTGAGTCTTCCAAGGTTAAATGACTTGTGAAAAGTTACAAAGCAGGCCAACAGCAGCATAAAGAAATAAACCTAGATTTTCTGCCTCTAAATAAAGTACTTTCTTTTTCACTATACCACTCTGTTTCCCTACATACAAAGGTTCTTGCTCTGCCTAACTTCCCTTTGAGCAATAGTAGTTAATACGAAGATATACTCTTTGGCTCTCTGAACAGATGTGGGAAGGCCTTTTAGCTCTTTTGTTCTTTCCTCACCTATCTAGTATAATGTTCTAAGCTGTTGCTTCAAATTATTTCTAGGAGGCAGAATATAAATTACAGAGAAACAAAAATACTACTAAGATTCATTCCAAATTGTTTTAGGTGGAACTTAACATCTGTGATGCATTTTTTTTTAAAAACTGGACTTTTTCACTGTATTCTTAAAATCTAATTAAATTTTCTCAAGGTGCTAATTAATACCTAACATCTGCTTAGCTTACCTCCATAGTCAGAACACTGCCTGGAAGCCTCCCGACTCACATTTAATTCTAATAATATCACTCACACCAGTGGTTCTTAGCAAGTTCTCTCAATTTGTCAATAGCATAACTACAAAAGCCAATAAAAACTTCATTATGTTAAACTAAGATATTTCATAGCCCAAATTCTTTGGACTTAGTTCTGTAACATAAACAACCATGTTAATAAAACATAGTTTCCATGTGGGTCTGCCTTATAAAACAAGAGTCTTACAGTGGGAAGGGAACTTACACGATGACCTATTATCAAGCGGCAGAACCCACCTATGCATCTCTGACATGATAGTTGTTCGGTCTTTGCTTGAACACATGCAGGGACATCATTGCTTCCTCATGCTGAGCCGGAATCTGCCTCTCTATAACATTAACTCATTTTTCCAATTTCACCTGGGAGGAGTCGTCATCTTTAATGCTATGCGACATTTATTGAATGAGCACTTAAGGCACGTGAGACTCCGTGCAGTGCTTTTCAAACATTATCATTTAATCCTAAGAATCCAAGAGGTGGTACTATTATCATTTCTATTTTATAACTAAAACAGAATCTGAGGTCAGAAGTTAAGTTACTTGCCTCAGGTCATATTGGCCAGAAAGCGGTGGAGTTGGGATTTGAATGCAGGTCTACCTCTCAACTCTTATCACTACACTACACAGCCTCTCTCAAGTGGCAAAGAAGGCGGCTGGCTAGTAACAGTGCTCCTGTTACTACCTTCATCTTCCTCCTCCCTAGCCCTGACCACGGTTCTTCAGATGATGTGGTAGCCGTATCCTCCGCCATCTGACTGCTTCTTCCGCACTTGTTCAACAGCCCCTTCAAATGTAGCCCTGGAACTGAACACAATTTGGCAATCTAGTTCTCTAATCCATGACTCCCTCAGCTTATTCCCTTTTTCTGTCACTTTGTAGCATCCAAGGCCCGGATCACTACTGTTACTGGGTTATTAACAGATTTGGAAGGGATGGTGGTGGCAGTGGAGGCCAAACATCTTAAATAATCATATGTGAAGATCTGGGGAGCCGGAAAAATGAAAGATAGGAATGGCTGCAAGTTCTGAACCATCACAGTGGATTTCCAGTTATCTCCCTAGTCAAATATGTTTACTTGGGAGTCAATCTCCCAATTAATGCAAGCATCACCGGTCAAGATGAGAGATACTATGAAATTGTGTATTGAATCACTCAGTCATTTTTAAAACGCAGTATTAAATGCAGACTGCATTTGTTTTACCTCAATACCAAGGATACCAGGTGAACATGAGAACTGGCACCTATTACCCTGGACAACAAACTCTCATTCAACCACAGTCAAGGGTAAAAAGAAATTTCTTTAGTTACAGCAGGGATTCTTCACCACGGCCCTAGTTAAGAGGATCCACACATGGGCCCAGAAAAGGCCACATAAAGTTGTATGCTTGGTTGTATACTTAAATATGTATACTTTTCTAGGAAGAACGTTCTTAAGAGATCTTTAATAGTAATAGCTAATATTTATTGAGTACCATATGTAAGGCACCGTGGAAATTTTTAGCTCAAGAAGGCTAAAATTAGTTTTTTTATGTGTAGTGGTTGGCAAACAACTTCTGAAAAGAAGAGCTAGACATTTTTGCCCTAATAATGGCTGTAAAACAGATCAAAAAGGCATGATAGGATATAACTGAAGAGTGTAAAACTAGAATTCACATTATAAATATTTACTCTGTTATTAAAATTAAATTCCTTAAAACATTATTTTTAAAGGCTGTATAATATTCCATCATGTGTATATTTCTTTAACCATTCACTCCTACTACTACACATTTATAGATAGATATAACTGTGAAAAACCGGGAACACTGCAACTAACATTTTGGCATCCATCATCTCTCTGCATTTCTTATTATTTCCTTACTATAAATTCTTAGAAGTGGTACTTAAACAAAGGCTTTTGCTACATATTGTCAAATTTCTTTCCTGAAAGATACCAATTTACTCTAACACAAAAGAATATGTGTCTTGGTAAACCTGTACAGCATTGAATATTACCATAAAAACAAACTGTGTTGTTTTAATTTAGATTTCTTTAATTACTAGTGAGGCTGAACATCTTTTAACACGTATAATAGCTACTTCAGAATGTGTGGTAACAGTATGTCGCTTCGAAAAAGATTAAAGAAAGGTGTTACTCAGTTGCCTAAGGACAGTAAAGTTTTTCTCAAATTACAAGTGTAGGTGGGAAGGGAGGAGAGGAAGAAGAGCTTCTCTAAAGGGCGAAATTAAGTCTTTAAAAATTTCCTATTTATATTTAATTAAATACATGGGGAAAGAGAAGTCACCAAAGCTGACAGTCTGTGAATCAAACCTCACTTTTTATATCTAGTCAGGTGTCCAGTGCCCCACCACTTTTTCTTTTGAATATTTCTTCCTCTTTATTCCCACTTCAACTACTCACAGCCACAGTCATACCTCACACTTAGAATACCATTACAAACTCAGAAATAGCTCCTCGATAGCTTCTCCCCACTATAAGATACCTTGCACACTTATTTTAAACTAATATGCCTAAGCCTCCCTTTCATGTCACTCCCTCTCCTTACGATTTTTGGATGGTTTTCTATTTTTTAACACGTCAAGTCTCATTCTAGACTTTTTTTTTTTTTTTTGTGAGGAAGATCAGCCCTGAGCTAACCTCCGTGCTAATCCTCCTCTTTTTGCTGAGGAAGACTGGCTCTGAGCTAACATCTATTGCCAATCCTCCTCCTTTTTTTTTTCCCCCAAAGCCCCAGTGGATAGTTGTATGTCATAGTTGCACATCCTTCTAGTTGCTGTATGTGGGACGCGGCCTCAGCATGGCCGGAGAAGTCACTCTAGACTTTTAAGGCCTCCTATATCACCACAGTCTAACCATCCTATTTTCTAGTCTAATTACTCCTTACCATAATTTTTGCCCAAGAGAGGCAAATCTCCTTGGTTGTTTTCCATATTCCTTCCTGTTCATCCTGTTCCTTTCAACTGTAAAACCTTGCTTTCTGCAATAAGGCCCTATCCAAGTTACTTTGTCTTCATGAAGTCTTACCCTCGACCTCTAGCCTTCACTCACCCATATCCTTACCTCTAATGACTTACAATGCATAATTAAATATTGGGTTATATATCACCTATTATTCATTCATATCATATATTACTCTGAAGTCCCTATTCAAATTTTAAAATTTTATTGACGGGACTTCTGGTCTCAGACAAGATGGCAACTTCCCTCACTTTCCCCCGCTCCTCCCCTCTAAAAACAACTAAATACCCCAGAAATAACTTAAGGCAATCATAAGGGACTCTGAAAGCTAGCAAGAAGGAGATGAACTGTTTAGGGACTTCAGGGCTTAAGGAAGGTCAGCACGGTGAGTTCCCTGGGTTTTCTTTTTATCTTCCATGGAACCTGGACTGGGCACTGGAGAGGCCTGCATCCCAGAACCACCAACAGGCATAGACAAAAAAAAAAGGACAGAGAAAAGCCTGCTCTCTCTTGCCAAAGACCGGTAAAGGGGAAGAGCAACAGAGACCTACTGGGGAGCCCTAATCCCCAGTCCACAGGCTATCTGGTAACATCAGAGGAGTCTGCTATCTCCAGGCCCTCTACCCAGTGGCATAAGAGGCCCAGGCCTGGCATCTCCCAGCCTTCTGCCCAGTGGCAGAAAGCAAATCAGGCCCTGTATTGTTGACCC